TATTTTTTTACGCAACAATGTGTGTTAGTTCATGTAGAACAATTACTGCTATAGTTAACTATAGTAGACTTTTTTTAGTGTTTTTTTTTTGTACAAAACCACGAATAAATTATTTATGGAAAGAAAATTCATTGCTTTTTTGGTCAGAATTGGGCCCCCAAACGTCCTGCCCCCCCCCCCCCCATTGCGGGGTCTGGCGGCATGGTAGTTCCGCCCCTGACACATACGCACACTTATAAACATTGGATTTAAAAAAAAAGTAGAGGAGGAAGTTGGAAATATATTTTTAAAATATGAATTGTAAAGAAACGAGAAAATGAAACAAGAATATTTAGACAGCGAGCACTTTTGTAGATTTGAGACAGAAAGGCTTAAGCCCTCGCTTACTTTACATCAGTGCATACAACACACTGGGATAACTCCAATACAAATAAATATGGGAGACAACATCAGTCTAGCCACAGAGTTATTTCGACTGGGCAACATTTTTCTATGGTTTTTATGTGTATCTGCATCATCATATCTACTAAATGCGCTGAAGTTTTTTCTATTGGGGGGTCTACTCTTTCATTCCTTTTTAGTTTAACTGATGGAATTGGTTTTCCGTAGGGATTCCTGATTTTCAGTCCTGCAGAGTTAACTTGTATAATGTTACTGTAAATGGAGAATTGGTGTTACGCTCGTCCAACATCGGTCTTAGATGTTTTAAAAGTATTGTTATGTCAGGTTTGGTGTTATGGTAAGGTAGGACTTTATTTAGGATTTGGGTTAAGCAGAGTTTCTTTCAAGATATTTTTATCCGTAAAAAAGTGGCACTTAACTCTCGGGTGGGCGGGTGGGCACTGGTTTTAAGTATGTTTTTTTTTTAAATATAATTTTTTTTCTTTTTCCTCCGGCCGGAGAGATGCTTCACAGATTTGGTTAGGACAGCGTTTGTCTTACAGTGATGTATATTTAGTACACGATTTGAAACCTCAGATTCCGTTTAGTTTAACTGGGATATACATAGGTTTTATATTAATTTTTATATTTTTACCATATATTGCCTCTTTACAATTAACTTTAACTACCCTTGACACGTTAACGTACACGAGCAAATGGTTAGAAGACGCCATTATTGTGGCTTAATTGGACACTGGCAGGGGTGGACTGGCCCTCCGCTTACCGGTGGGCCCTCCGGTAACAAATCGAGGTGGGCTCGCAGGTAATATATCCATTTGGGCCCCAGGTAACAAATCCCGGCGGGCCCCCAGGTAACAGATCCATGTGTGCACCCAGGTTACGAATCCCTGTAGGCCCCCCCCCCCACAGGATCCCCGCGGGGCCCCAGGTTACAAATCCCTGTGTGCACCCAGGTAACAAATCCTGGTGGGCCCCCAGGTAACAAATCCCGGTGGGCCCCCAGGTAACAAATCCCGGTGGGCCCACTAGGAACGGTGCTGCAATAAGACTTGATTGAACTAGTACTTTGATTTTTTTTAAAGATATTACTTGAATTTCCATTAAGCTAAAGATGATCATCAGACATTGATTGAGGAAAATGCACAATGAAAGTTTTATTCTGGTGTGGGGGGAACACTTTTAAATTTCCATGGGCCTCTTGGATACTGCCTGTCTACCCCAGGACACTGGTATACCATATTATTGCACAAATTTACCTTAAACGTTTTGCATACGTTGAACACTTTTACAGAGGCGTAGCCACCCTTCCCGGCGCCCGGGGACAAACTTTTCGATTTGCACCCCCCACCCCCCTCAAGATTTCGATTTGCACCCCCCCCCCCCCTCAACCTTTCAATTTATTTCTCCAACACATTTTGCGCCCACTAAGGTCGGCGCCCGGGGACATATGTCGTCCCCCCCTCGCTATAATCACTGTAAAAGTAAGTGCAGAATCACGACAAGATTTTGAATAGCTGAAATATTACGTAATACATGGCCTTCATCTAGCTCATAACTACTGAACCAAAATTATCCCCCCTGATTTTATTTTTATATTTTTATCTCCCTTGTTGTAACCCCGACCCAACCAACCATAATCTAACATCAGGTTATTTGTAGATTGTATCACGGCCATTTCCAAAACAAAACTCTAACCATCCAATCATATTACACGAAACAAACTACGATATTGTCCCGACTCCCACGGGATTTGGCACAACTTAAAAAAAAAAGCATATTTAGTATGCAGATTAAAAAGTGCGCGCGCATGTAGACAAATCCCATAACTCTCAGCATAAAAAAATAGTGCCCTAGTCAAGTCTAGCCAAGCGTGACAGGAATCTTTCAGCTGTTTGTTTACACATGTTTAAAGGGGGAAATAGTTTATCTATATATCTTTAGCTTCTAATTAATTATTGAACAACTGTCGTGGAAATGGAAGTAAGGGAAATAAACAAGCCTTTGGGATATTGGAAATAAGATACAAAAAATATCCGATTACAGCTTATATGAAAACATTTACTGCTGGAGTTTTGTAATTCCAACTGTATTGAATGCATAAGGGAGATATTATGAATGCGCAAGTTTAAGTGAATGTGCTTTTTCTTTTTTAAATTATAGGCTATCGTTTTAATAGGAGGTTCCCGCTGAGGTTTTATAGCACATAATAGCAAACAAACACACACTGACACATATACACATAGACACGTACACACAAACCAGTGGCGTCGCTAGGGCGGGTGTCACCCGATGCGGCATCTCATTGTGTCACCACCCCTATGATGTTTATCTATAGTCGGTTATTAATACAGCTGGATATAGCACTGTTTTCTCTATAGTTTGCATCTTTATGCCGCAGTGTCACTTCCCCCCCCCCCCCTCCTTGTTGGGATCGTCATTAAGTACTCTTAAAATTTTTTAAACTCTTGTTAACCATCCATTGAACTGGCAAAAAAAAAAAAAAAACTTTTTTTCTGTAAATCTTGAAATTTTTCTGTCTTGGTGTCACCCCCACTAAATGGTGTCACCCGGTGCCGTCCGCACCCACCGCCCCCACCTGGCGACGCCTCTGACAAAAACATAACCAACAGCCAGATAAATACTCCTAAAATCACACCACCATTAAAGAAGGAAACAGTGTTTCTTTTAGACTTTTTTCTCCGGGGGGGGGGGGGGCTGGGGGCGGACTAAAATTTCCGGAGAAGGGATGGTCGGACACTGTTAAAAGTATATATTTTCTATATAAATTCCATTTCGTTCGGTGGAGGGGGGTAGACTTTCTTCGGAGGGGCATCGAAGAGATGCCTGGAAGAAACTCTGGAAGAAAACCTGGTACTTCACGCTACGGTTCGAATTTATAATATGGACTCATAATATGAAAATAGTTGATAAGGGAAGTAATAGAGAATATACGAAACTCTGTACAGTGTTTTCCCTTCAATAGTTTCTTTAAGTTTAATAGCTATTTAAAAAAAAAAAAATTATTTAGGCGCCGAGGCCTATATATATATATATATATATATATATATATATATATATATATATATATATATATATATATATATATATATATATCAGGGGCGTAGCGAGGGGGGGGGGGGCGGGGGGTGCGGACCGCACCGGGTGACACCATTTAGGGGGGTGACACCAAGGCAAAAAATAGCAAAATATATAGATAAAAACTTGAGGGGGGTGGTGCAAATCGAAAGTTTGAGGGGGGGGGGGGGGGGTGCAAATCAAAAACTTGAGGGAAGGGTGCAAATCGGAAGTTTGAGGGGGGGGGGTGCAAATCGAAAGTTTGAGGGGGGTGCAAATCGAAAACATGAAAGTTTGTCCCCGGGAAGGGTCGCAACGCCTCTGGGGGTGACACCATTAAGTGCCGCACCGGGTGACACCCGACCTCGCTACGCCACTGATATATATATATATATATATATATATATATATATATATATATATATATATATATATATATATATATATATATATATATATATATATATATATATATATATATATATATATATATATATATTTATATATATACATATTTATATATATATATATATATATATATATATATATATAATTTTATATATATATATATATATATATATATATATATATATATATATATATATATATATATATATGTATATATATGTATGTCTGTGTGTGTGTGTTTGTGAGAGAGAGAGAGGATTGATTGGGTGGGGGGGGGGGGGGACGCTAAATCTGAAATTTATGCCCCGGGCGACGCTACACCTCTGCTATTACATATGCCTACGATCTAGCCAAATGCCCAGTTGTGCGATTGTAGATTATATGTAGATCTATTTCTTTTTAGTTTTATTTGATTGTTTATTACGATATACGAAAGGAATAAATAAATGACCCATAAATAACGTCACACTCGTAGGGGGGAGGGTCCGTAATTTTGCGACGGTGTGTGATGAGGGGGAGGGAGAGGGGGGGGGGTCAGATGGTGTGACGTCACACTTTTGCATTAAAAAAAGCAATGTTAGAAAACGAAATTTAGCCGTTATTTTCCGTTTTAGAAAATGGTTTTAATAAATTGTAATAGGAATTGATCAAAATACTCTATGTTGTCAGAGTTCTGACAAGATTTCGGAAAAATATCGATGTTTTAAGAAAAATTCAATAGCGATTTTGAGGGGGGGGGGGGTTAGGCTGAGGTGTGACGTCATTTTAGGGGGGGTCTGGCTTTTTGTGACGATGTGTGACGGAGGGGAGGGGGGGAGGTAAAAATCATCCAAAAAAAAGCGTGACGTCATTTATGGATGTTCCCCCTAAGGCGGATATCTAAGTAATTACGCTGGTATCGTAATTTTATAAAATAAGTTGTTTATACCTATAAATCAATAACTAAATGTAATAGATGCTAGATCTAGTTCTTGAGCATAGGCATTTTTTTAAAAATTCTATTAAATATTCAGCGTGATATTATTCTGGCCTACTGGATGTTTTTTTTTTACGCACATAAAGAAGATCGTTTAAATGCTAAGTAATTGGAGTTACTTCACTTGATTCGCGAGGGCGTTGACGCTTGGAACAGGAAATGGTCACCACTGACATCAAAACATGAATAATCAGGTGAATTCACAGAATGGAACTAAAGCTGAATGATATGGAATGTGCTCGCACTACCTGCATTCATTAATGTACCATGTAAGAGTTAAGAAGCTTTACAATTCACACAAATTATTGTATCATTAGGTGTGTAAATTAAACTCAACAGACTAAACGAGTAAAAAAAAACTAAAAAGACGTCTCCAAGTTCAGATTCTGCAGATCAAATTTTAATTTTTGAATTCTTAAAAAAAAGTAATTTTACACTAACAACAATTATTATTCAACAATACTTTACTAACCTGATGTTCTGCACACTTAGGTTAAAAATACACTGAGATTATTTAAATTTGTTACTTAATGAAGTTAATGTATAAGTTTTTAGTAGTCGATCTCCTTACCAAAACCGGAAGTCAGAACCTGACCCTGAAACGTCATGCTCTTTTAGTTTTCGCATTTTAAGTGTTTTTGGGGGGTCGTATATACAAAAAATGAAAAAACTGCTAATCTAGCAATATCTCATCACTATTTTAATGCGAAATGCTAAGGAAATGGATACTATGGCTTAAATGCCAGAAACATTTGCGAGATATGTAGTAATAATTAATACAAGCATTTCTTATGGAGCACTCTCATTAGGAACTGAACTGCAACGAAAAACGACCGACCTCCGGGCATCAGCGCTCGACAGCTCCTAGATAAATATATATTTGAGATATTTACCATGATTAATTACAATGATGCTGCTTCCCTTCTGCCAAAATCCAATTCCCCATAGAAATACCATGCCGCTGCTATTTTTAGCAACGTTACGCCATTGTTACGCTAGTTGTCAGATAGAAACAACTAATTTTTGTTTTTTGCGGAATGCACTGTTAAGTCTAGTATTTTAATTATAATTCAGTTTTAGCATGTGCAGAAATTGTGGGCATTATTATTGTATTAAAGTATTAGTAATTTTATAAGTATATTGATTTTTTTTCTTCACTGCAAGCCAAGTAGGCCGACTGCACTGTTAGTTTCATTGAACATAATTCGTGACCGGTCATTAACCTTGTTAATATTAATACTTCGTGGCCTACCCGACTGTATAATTTATATGAAATTATATGTAGTTTTTAATTAGGCCTTAGTATTGTATTTTAAACAATGCTCATTCCGAGCCTTTTTGTGCTAGATGTAATTAGGCCTACTGGCAATTTTTTTTATTTTTAGACTTGGTCAACCTCGTTAATGCTGTTGTGTTAGTTAAAAATATAGGAATTGTGTGTAAAATTTACGCAGTTACTCAGTTACTACGTAGAATGATATCAATAAATGAAGTAGTAATTATTTCCTTTTAGTTTTAGAAATCTTTTGATACAAAATGTCTAATATTTTATTTTCCAATACATCGTGGTGTGTGGCAGAGTAAACAGAACGGTGCGGTAGGTGACCTAGAATCTCCGAGTTCGAATCCGACGTAAATCAGTTGTGCGTTATTTTATTGTTTCACATGGGAAATGCCACGAGCGGTTTTCTTTTCTTTGTTTTTCAAAAAAAAAATTTTTGAACGAAATAATATTTTAAAAAATAATTATTCAAAATTTTCCAAACATCGTCGCTCGCATCGCTCGCGAGATCGACTGCTTACATTTTCTTGTCTGCGGGAGAAAAATGTTGACACGGTCGAGGGTTCACCGTGAGTTCAGCAGGCCTACCATACATACGTCACAGCATTAACTATTGCTGTTAGAGATCGTCGGTGGGCAATCCCACCCCTCCCCTCATAAACCAAGCAAATTGTAAATCAACTTAGGGTCATTTTAAGTTCACGCAAGCTTACAGGACTGTAGATTTACTACGCATAGCTGGTAAAAAAAAAAAAAAAAAAAAAAAAAAAAAAGAAAACTTCGCCTAACCTAATGCTACTACAGAAGATAATACTAATTATAGAGTATTTAATTTGAAAGTTAAAAAAAAGTTCATTTATCATCTTACCTAATAATACTGTATTGTCGTTACAGTTAGAAGGACTAGATCTAGATTTCTGTCAGATCTATTTTTAGTTTTGGATATTAATTTTATTGTCATCTTCATGGGTATTGATTGTTCAATTTATCATGGAATGCCTAATGTCTTAAAATTGTACATTGTACATAGAATTTATAATAAATATGTCTGATATTTCCTTAATAAACATAATGAATATAAAGTTTTATTTCTAACAAAATGTTTTGGTTTTTTTTGGTAACTAAAATACCCAATGTTGTCGTAATTGCTATGACATCATGCTACGAATGGAAAACACAAACCAACGTAACTTTTTGATATCTTTTGATGGCGAAAAAGAGTTTCGCATTTTAAGATGTTAATAGGTCATTTTGTTTTTGTTTGTTTTCTCGGCCCCTAATTAAGCTAGACCATTAAATTTGGTCTCAAATTAACCAGTAAGTGATATGGTTTGTAATGATATATGATAAGTGACAGAAAATTTTAATTAAAAAATTGTAATAAGACAACCTAGTTTTTAGGCTTAGAATCCCCATCCATCTAGGCCCCTATCCCTAAATTATTATTTTACAGTTAGCCTAAACTAAACCTAGGCCTAAATCTAGAAAAAAGATAATCTATTAAAAAAAACAATACAAAAGAATTACACCTATGCAAACAACTCAATGGAATGTTAAACTTAGTTTTATACACTTTACTTCTTGCAAAAAGGAGAGCTTAAGATAGGCTAAGGTTCCGATCCCGTAACTGATCAAGATCGGGAGGTACTGCGTTCTCCACTCGACCACGACGTCTTACGAAATGATTAATTCTTACTGATTTTGTATATACAGTTAAATTTAGTTACATATTGCCGCTAGCAAATCCGCATAACTAATTACAATAAAACACAACAAAATACGCGCATATCCACAAGAAAAATCAAATAAACATAAAAGGTATAATTTTAATACAGGTTGTACGAGTGTATAACGAACTAATACCGGGTCCGAATAGCGGCCAGGGCTATATTGACCCGGGTCCTAATAGGGCTATTAGGACCCGGGTCAGAATGGCCACTTCCTTAATTATCAGCGTACGTCATAACTTAGGGTCATTGTGAGTTGATTTATAGTATCATGCCTTTCAATTTTTCTTTTCTACTTCACCCATTGCCATGAAAAAACTGACACGAACACATTTTAAAAGATAAAAGAAGTTAAATCTAGATCTAAATAAATAGTAGGCCTACACTTTCAATATTCCAAATTTTGGATTTTTCGCTAGTTTTGACAAAATTAATTTAAAAGACTAAAAATTCATAAAGAAATAGGCCGAGTGATTTCCTTACGTTTTTGTGTGTTTTGGTTGTATTTATAATAAAATACGCTCAACTGGAAGTGAACGTGAGGCAGGGAATAAAATACGCTAATATGGAGTTTTACCATAATAGTATTAATATTTTATTACACTATTTTATTTTGTTACTCAATTTATAAATTTAGGCTTAGAATCCCCATCCATCTATCCATAAATTATTACAGTTAAGCTTAAAGTAATAGTATTACTCGCTAAGTGTGGCCGGTTGCTAACAACAATATGGCGTACACAGAGAATGCATGACTTCTGACTATTTTTCGTCTTAGTTCCAGTGACTTTATTAGAATTACTGTTTAAAATGTTTACAACAAGCAAAATGACAGGGTTTTCTTGTTATAATTTATAGCCCTGCCACCTATGGTTTATAATAAACCATAGGTGGTAGGGCTATATATGCCAGAAAAGCATTTTAAGATTTGGTTTTGAGAATGGAGGCTAAATTCAAAAGTTGGTTTCATTAAATTTAATAGAATTTTTAAAATATCAATGGTGTAGGTACAAAAATGAGCGAGAACGTAAAGCATTATTAGTTTTATCAGTTTATGAAAAAAGAAATAAAATATTGTGAGCCATTTTTTTTATAAGACTGGTGTTCATATCACAACCAATTTATTTGTATTTTTTAAAAACCACGTGACCGCTATTTGGCTCATCACCAGTGAGGAACTCTGCTGCATAGCCAATTAAAAAGTCGAATTGATTCGTGGTTTGCTGTGGCCTCAAACGTAAGAGTGATATCATGGGTGTTATGGAGACGTGTGTCGTGCATGGCAGTGAGTGACAATAAATATTAATTTAAGTAAATTTAGTTTGAAACAAACTAAAAACTTCAAAATTAGTGCCTAATGGATTTAAATATGTATCTCTATCATTCAGTGATCATGTTTAAATTGAAAATTGAGTAAATTTTAGATTTAGTGAGAAAATCTATAAAGTAAGGCTGCATTTGCGGGATCGCTCCGCTGTATTCTAAATCTTTTCTCTAGCTTGGGCACGATTTATAAATAGATATCAGGACTGCCCAACTGTTTTTCGTCTTAGCAATTCAATGTTTTATTTCAACACCTGAGTTAGGTGTTGAAATTTAAAAAAAAAAAAGAATAGAATCTAGATCTAGTACATGTAAAAATACAGTACAGTATTAGTAATAGATCAGATGATAGTCCTAGTTCTAGCTAGATGAAACTGTTCTTTAGTATTGTTTTTACCACTATCTAGCTTGCGTGGTAGTAGATCTAAGTCTATAAGCCTAAAAAATGACCAGAAGTGGGTCTGTTTTTCAATTTGCTTGGGGGGGGGGGGGGGGGTGCAGGGGAAGTGAAGTGAAGACACAAACAATTTCAAATATTATAAATTGTGTTCATTGTATGATGTATGCTATACAGTGATCCCGCCGACTGTGGTGTGAGTAACAATGTTTGGAAGGAAATTTTATAAAAAAAAGAAAATAAAATGTCAAAAGATACTGTTTTCTGTTCGTGCTAACCCCGGGTTCAAACTCAGAGCTTCAGGGCTATGAACTTAAGATTAAAATGTTTTTTTACCTATTAATTATTTATTTATTATCATCTGTAAAAAAGTGAGATAAATTTAACACAACAACTTGAACACTATTCTTATTATTGTATTAATTAATTTTTAATTATTTTTTTCCAGAGTTGTGATTCCATCAGACCAGAATGTCCAATGTAATTCCAATCGTCTCATCATCCCCACCGCCCATGGGCTGGGACGATGAAGACGACGATGATTTTGGCAACTTCGCCATGGCGCCCAACTTAGCTCCGCAAGCTGTGTCCAGCTTTGATGTCAATTTTTCCAGCTCGGATCTTAGCCTGCCTGAAGACTTCCAGCCTGGGAACAGTAAAGATAAACAAAACCAGTTTCACATAGCTGATTCCAATGTCGAGAACAATAATCCTCTATCTTCTGGTGATCGTTGTCCAAATACAGTTCAAGATTTGGGTAACAACAACTTTGATGCACCAGAAGCGGAGGATGATTTTGAAGAATTCGCACAGTTTGACGACAACCTTGGTAATGATTGTAACCACGAGACGACCACACGCCACACCGACATCCTCAGCCAGCAGCACAACAGCGAACACAATGAGGCACAGCAGCAGCTACCACAACAGAGGAACCTCAGCCTAGACGAAACAGCCGAGGCTGGGTCTACATCTTGTACTGTGTTGAAAAACAATGAATCAGTGTATAGTAATTCATCCACCGTCGACTCGGGTGTTTTTAGCACGGATTTATCACCTTCCACAAATTTTTATCCCTCGGATATGTGTCGGAAACTAGAGGCTTCGGACTTTGAAACTTCTTTTCCCGATGACTCACCAGTTGCTAATGATAGAACAGTTTATGAAGTAAAACACGAAGGTGAGCTGTCTATACCTGATGCACTCAAACATGATGTACATTCTATACCAAACGCATTGAAGCATGAAGCTGGTCCATCTTTGCATGATGAAGCAAGTAAACCTGAATGTGATGCACCGTTTAATGACAATATGGTAGATGCTGATGAGGATGATTGGAGTAATTTCAGTGCAGCTGGTCTGGTTGAAACCACAGTGGATGTTCCAGCTAATCATGACTTTCTTGAAACACAAGAACACCCTGAAGTAAGAGATTCACATTCCCTGCCAACAGAGGAACATTCAAATTCTTTGCCATCATCATTGGAACACCCTGAATATTCGCATTCTTTGCCACCAACAGTGGAACACCCTGCAGATTCACCTTCCCTGCCAACAGTGGAACACCCTGCAGATTCACCTTCCCTGCCAACAGTGGAACACCCTGCAGATTCACCTTCCTTGCCACCATCAGTTCATTCCATTGTGGACCCTGCAGCAACAGAAGAGCATGTAGCAACCCAGCCTGTGCCTTGTGTTACACCAGAAGAAAGTTTAGTAGTGTCCCCTAACTTATCTAGTCAAGTAGTTGATGGTTTGACTTGTCAAAATCATGTTAAAGATTGTGTTAATGACAATGGTGATTCTGGGAAACTTTCTGATGTAAAATTGTGCAGTGAGTCCAGTGGTTCTATAGAGGCTGTAGAACACAGTAAAAAGCCAGATGTGGATAGTGGGATTTTAGATGGTAGTAAAAACAATGGCAGTTCTGAGATTCAGGAATTTCAAGCCAGTTACCCAGAAGCTGTGGTAAACAGTTTACCTGAGCAAGGTTCCGACATCAATTTGGAGGTGTCAGCAGGTGATGAAAGTTCATCGACCTTGGGTTATTCTACTATATCAGAAACACCTGTTGCTGAAATCTCCAATGATGGTCACGGGAGTGTCCCTACTGTGGAATCCGAATCCCACACTGGTGTTATTTGTGATGCGGAGTTCGAAGACGACTTGGAGTTTGGTGAGTTTAATACTGTGGTGAATAGCAAGGATGATTCATCTGATGAGGTCGCTCCAATCACGTTTCGGGTCAGCGAGTGCGATGCGGAGGACACCGCCAGCAATGATATTGATTTTGGTACCGGTCAGCCTGCACGGTTTAACGATAACTCTGAAGGCGAGGATGACTTTGCAGCGTTTGATGAAGCCGGAAATTCTGATGAAGATTTCGGAGATTTTGGTTCCGTCAGCCCAGCGGTACCCAATGGGGCGCCTGAGAACCATGAGAGTGATGATTCTTTTGGGGATTTTGGTAACACAGGTCAGCCAGATGTAGGGGAGGCTGGGTGGGCTGATTTTGGCTCAGCCGAGGTTGCGGAGACAAGGAAAGAACCACCAGTGCCTGCTGATAAAAGTCTTCCAGCGTCCAATCAGAAAATTGCAGGTGATTCAGGGCAGGTAAGAATGTCTGTTTATTTCTGTTTTTTTCTGTAGAATGGGATCTTCAATAATAATTTTCTCATTAATTATTCTCTATTGTTTTGTTTGCACTTGGAGTAATTATGGTTTATTTTGGTCATAATATTTTAATGGCAGTTTTATAATATTTTATTTCTTTATTTTGATTTATTTTAATTTAAAACGAATGGTGATTTCAAAGATTACATTTATAAGTAAGATTATGCCTTCCTCAAAAATCATTTCACACAGTTCTAAAGTTTCCATTTATAAAAACAAATCATCAGTTTTGTTTCGTTCAGATCAAATTTTGGTTTCACTTACTTTAATAATGAATTCTGATAACAACCATTATTGCTTTATATTTTTGGATGTTTTTTTATTGATGATTGTTTTTTATTCTTTATTTGGTATTTCTACCTAAAGCTCATCATAATATTTTTTTAATCTACTTGTTCAACATTCAGTACTATTATGAAACATGACCACCTCATTTTTAAATTTTGTACAGAGTAAAGCTCAAAAACTAGAGAGGGCTGTGTTAAACTGTTTCCCACAAGTAACGCCAGTGGTTCAACAGTCAGAGGATCTTGATAATGATCTTCCTCCACAAGAGCATGCTGGGGATCAGGATCTGACACCTCTAGACACAGTTGTAGAACTCGGTCTCACAAATCCACTGGAAGCCAAGCAGCAAACTTGGACTGTTGTACAGCATCCTGCCAAGTTAGTTCCCTTGTTTTGTCTGGTTTAATATTTTAAATGCTATCAAGTTAGTTTCCTTGTTTTGTCTGGTTTAATTTTTTTAAATGCTATCAAGTTAGTTTCCTTGTTTTGTCTGGTTTAATTTTTTTAAATGCTATCAAGTTAGTTTCCTTGTTTTGTCTGGTTTAATATTTTAAATGCTATCAAGTTAGTTTCCTTGTTTTGTCTGGTTTAATTTTTTTAAATGCTATCAAGTTAGTTTCCTTGTTTTGTCTGATTTAATATTTTAAATGCTATCAAGTTAGTTTCCTTGTTTTGTCTGGTTTAATTTTTTTAAATGCTATCAAGTTAGTTTCCTTGTTTTGTCTGGTTTAATTTTTTTAAATGCTATCAAGTTAGTTTCCTTGTTTTGTCTGGTTTAATATTTTAAATGCTATCAAGTTAGTTTCCTTGTTTTGTCTGGTTTAATTTTTTTAAATGCTATCAAGTTAGTTTCCTTGTTTTGTCTGATTTAATATTTTAAATGCTATCAAGTTAGTTTCCTTGTTTTGTCTGGTTTAATTTTTTTAAATGCTATCAAGTTAGTTTCCTTGTTTTGTCTGATTTAATATTTTAAATGCTATCAAGTTAGTTTCCTTGTTTTGTCTGGTTTAATTTTTTTAAATGCTATCAAGTTAGTTTCCTTGTTTTGTCTGGTTTAATATTTTAAATGCTGCCAAGTTAGTTTCCTTGTTTGGTCTGGTTTGAGTTTTAAAATGCTGCCAAGTAAAGCTAGTTATTTGGTTTTTAATTAGGTTATAATTGTTAACATCTTGGAAATTTTATTTCTTATTGCTTCTGGTTAGTTGTTTAAATCCCTGTATAACTCATAAACCCTTGTGAAAAACCGTAGATGTTATGGGTTGGAAAACACATCCAGCTTCCAAAATTCTAGTTTTGAAGACAATGTTCTAAAATTGAAAAAAAAAAAAAAGAAAAAAAAAACATTTATTGACGTGTGTATCAATTTTGTAGTTTAAAAATATAAGAGAAAAAAATTCAGAGCTTAAAAATTAAGAATATAAAAATCTAAATCAACATTAATCTCTAACGCATACACAAAAGTTCAAAATAATTTTAATAAATTAGACTTCAATTTTTTTCTTGTTATTTTGTAAAATGTGTAGAAAGGACCCAAAGGTGCGCCTGTGGACACAGCTTAAATCAACATAATCTAACGCACACACAAAAGTTCTGAATAATTTAAAAAAATAGACTTTATTTTTTTTTTATTCTGTAAACATTTGTAGAAAGGACCCAAAGGTGCGTCTGTGGACACAGCTTAAAGACTTGGACTCATGCCACGCCCTCATTTACAACTGGCCCTCCTCCCATTGCTGTAAAGAGGTGTACGGGACCCTCAAAATAGACACACAGAACGTTGTAAGTCTCCCAGTATATATTTACTGTTAGTTATTTAAAATGTGGTCAGCTTTAATTATGGAAAATTCTATAATAAAGCTATGTCATGATGTATATCTGTATCATCATCTTTTCCTGTTTGGGCTCAAGATATATGGGGCAGATGAAGTAGAGTTCATCTGTTTGAGTGGCCTCTGCATACAGCCACCTTTACTCTCTTGACAGATGCCCATCAAAGTTGGGTGGACTTAGTGACAGCATACTGACTTGAGCTTGGGATCCAAATATTTGATGGGTAGCTAACTCACGTAAGGGAAAGTAAAGCCATATGGGCATAATGCTGATCAGTAGGTGAACTCTACTTCACTTGCCTCATGGACTGTTCAAAAAAGGAACTTAACTTTGTATCAAGCTGTGTGCATAAATGTACCATGGATGTGTTTGTTAGTGAGAGGTTCATACAAAGCATGTGATCTCTAACAGAGGCGGGAGATAACTCTGATATTGACTTGTATATTTCAGCTGTTCACTCAGAAGAAGCAGGCTGTACCGTTCTACTCTTCAGGAATGAACTTGCTGGAGCCTATTCGAGGCAACGGTACCAAACCTCTCAAACACCAGGCTAATCAGATCATAGAACAGCCAAGGCAGGAACAGCTTCAGACTGTTACATCTGTTCAAGTAAGTTTTTAAAAAAAGTTTTTTTTTCATTTCTCTTATCAATTTATTATGTGCCGAGAAGTTGTCGTAGTGGAGGTTGGCATGGTTGGGTTGGTTAAATTCAGGGTTGCTGAACCAAAAAGTCCCAAGTTCCAATCCCCAGGCAGATAAGGCTCAATATCCAGGGACAACAACTCATCTAGGAGAAACAACTCCGAAATCAAACAACTTCTGCCTTGTAGTTTGTTTTTGGTTGGACAAAGGCTACGGAAGCAAAATCCAAAAATAAAAGCAGGCTGAAATCTGAGTCGATGGCCTATATAGTGCTTAACAAGTTGACATGTAATACTTATGCAATCTCTTCCAACACTAGAATTAAGAACAAAGAAGAAGGAATAGTTAACTTCTAGTAGTTTGAATAGCAAATCGGATCTTACCTGAAATAAATGAGGAAAAAAATAATAAGACTGGACAATGAATAGAAAAGGGCAGTTGGAGAAAGTAGCCCAAGACAGATTTTTGTGGGTGTGCTATGTCCTTGTTTTATGATATGTAGACAAACCTGTACCCAAACACCTAAGATCCAATATAGCGCCATTGTTGTTTATACTTACATAACTCAGTTTTAGAGTTCAATTTTACTTTCAAAAATTTAATGTAAAATATTTTCTGCTTAGGATATCCCACCTGTAGACTTTGACTGGAGTAGCAGCGGCTTGACGAATCCTCTCACAGGTAACACCTCATCTCTGGTGATCTTTGTACTTCCTTTAAAACTTAGGTATCAGGTGTTGGTATACATACATGTGTACACATCACATAGATGTGTGTTTACATCTGGATATACATATGTGTACATTACACACTGCTAGTGCTAGTCACATTTGTCCTTTACAGCAAACTTTTAAAGTATTGGCAAATTTTAATAATCGGAATTTCTAAATTGCTTATTTATGTAAATTAACAGCCATCACAACCTACTGCTATGTGCTTAATATATATATATATATATATATATATATATATATATATATATATATATATATATATATATATATATATATATATGTGTGTGTGTGTGTATATATATATGTATATATATATATATATATATGTATATATATCTGTATATATATCTGTATATATATCTGTATATATATACGTATATATATATATATATATATTTATATATATATATATTTATGTATATATATATTCTTGATATATATCTGTGTACACAAATGTATACATATATATTGTATAATCATTAATTATACAAACAGGGTTGTGGTCCCTTGTCATTTCATTAATCAACTTGTTTATTTTTACTTTTTTTAATTAACGGGGATCAAATTTTAGTGAGTGAATATTTTAACTTTTTTATCGTATATAGATTTCAATTTATTTTGTTCTATGGAAATATTTTGAAAATACATCAGCTCTCAAAACTCCAGATTAATTATTAGTTGATGTTTAAACAGAACAGGATGAACTAAAAGATTTTTTAAGCACCCACTAAAGATTTGATAAGAATACATTTTTCCTTCCTATAAAATGTTTATATTTTTTATTGTTTATCAAATGTTTTCATCATCCATACCAAAGCTAACCTTTTACCTTACATATGTTAACGAAGGTGGTTTCACTTTATAATTTAAGTATCATTATATCCAGCATCACACTTCTCTTCTACCATTTTGTACACCCAGCCTTACTGAGCTTTCAATGTTGATGTTGCTCATTAGCTTATATATATATATCTACGCTTGCTTTTTACTGTAGTTTCCTGAACTGTTTTATTTTGTTTCTCATTTTGCTATATACCACTAATGATTTTTCACAATTTTAATCACCTTTAGAACACATTTTTTAAAATGTGAAAAATAAGTTTTCATTGTTTCACATTTTTAAAACTAACAGCCTCATTTCATGTTTTTCATTTTGCTATATACCACCAATGATTTTTCACAATTTTAATCACCTTTTTAACACATTTTTTTTAAATGTGGAAAAAAAAAGTTTTCATTGTTTCACATTTTTAAAACTAACAGCCTCATTTCATGATACTAATGTCTAATTGATCTCCTTATAATTGTTTATTATATTAATTTTTGTTTTGTTACTCTTTGTTTTTAAAAGATCAATTCTTTTAATTTTGTTTTTTTAACTAGGTTTTGGTTTTCTTTCTATAGACATTTATTTCAGTAGAATTTATTGGTCTCATACTTTGTTTCAGTTTTCAGTTGTTTTCTTTTTAAAATACATTTTGTTTTGTGTCTTTTTTTTTTAATTTCGAGTTTTGCAATTTTTTTTGTCCACTGAACTCTGATTGGCTGCTCAGTATGCACCTCCATAAATTTTTTCCATTGTCGTCCCATCAGCTCACACTCTCTACTCTTGTTGTGTGCCATTTAGACTTAGCCTGTTTTTCTCTCTCCACTCTGTCACCAGCGAACACGCTAGACTTAGATTTTCTTGTCGTTCAGGGAAGTGACTCTAGCGAGAAGACCTCAGGTGAGTTGCCTGTCTTGAATGACTATTGTAATGAGCCCCTGTCTGAGAGTTATAGCAATAAACATCACCTTGGTAACCGCTGTGTTGAAGTTCATTGACCTGGTTCTAATTTGTTCATCAATGGTTCAGTGTTTCAGCCTACCTCGTTAGGGCTCGTTAGAGACAGTAAACATAAGAAATAGATGTGTGGTTAGCAAATCAGGATTGGGGGCACTTTCACTGTAGTGAAATCGTTAATTTTAACGACAAATATAGAAACAAATGAACAGGCTTAATTGTAATTGCAATGTTTTTGTGATTAAAAATAATTGATTGTGAAAAGTCATCTATGAAAATCCCTGAGAAAATAATATTGAAAAGGTTTTTTTTAATATAGAAATCAAAGCCTCATATTCTATTTACCAATGTCTACAGTATTTAATCTTTTAGAACTGTCATTGGTGTGTTCTGATGCTTTTAATTGATATTAGTTTTGCTTTTGATTGTTTCTCGTTATACCCAGACTAATGTATCTTTTAATATAATTTTTATTGCTATTTAAAATAAATAGTTGAAAAGTTTTTACATGTTTTAAAAAATCATTTTCTTAATTCAATTTTTTATGTGTTGCTTTGACAATTAACTGTCACAGTATACATTTACTTAGCTAAAGTATTATTAATCAGTATTTTTAATTAACTGATATCGGCAAGCTTATCACAATTCACATCAACTAGCTAGTTTAAACTTTATAAGTGATAACCACTAGTATAAATTTGCTTTGGTGTGGTGTACAATACCATTGATACCCATCCTTTACCATTTATAAACTATATAACCACATATATAATGTACGTTAACTGAATGTATTTAGCTTAACCTCGTAACACCCCAAAGCTCAATCCTGACGCATAATCTCCAAGACAATCCCTAAACATATCAAACTCGTAATCCTAAGGTTCTAAGAATGATATTTACAGAATCAGCAAATAATAATTTATTTCAAATTATCACAGCAGTCAATGTAAACAAAAAGTGAATACTTTACAGTTCTATTTTCGTCATACAGTTCCTTCTGCAGTTAGTTGGTACCACTACATATCAAACCTTACATAGTTGTTTGTAGAATGGTATTATAAAGATAATCTAAGTGACTCATTTTACATTGTTATGTCCTTATCTAAGACAAGTTGTTTTTTTTTCAAAATGTTAAGTTTTAGTAGTGGTTTTCTTTAATTATTGAATTTAGTAAATCCAAACGAAATGCTTATGGATTAAAAGTAGGAGATTATGTGACTGGATATCTCTAAATGTGTGTTTATATATATATATATATATATATATATATATATATATATATATAGATATATATATATATATATATATATATATATATATATATATATATATATATATATATATATATATATATATATATAGATATATATATATACAATCACACACACATTATACACTCACAATGGTTTGCTTGTAAAGAATGATTGTACTAACTAAGAATGTTGTTTTATATTCTTACGCTAACATACACAGATGAATGGGACTGGGGTAAGAAATAATTCTTTTGTTTCAGAATTATTCCATATCTTTATTTTGCTTTCAGCCTATGGAAGAAAGGGGTATGGGGGAGGAGCAGTTTCTGACAGGTTGCACTGAAAGGGTGGGGGGAGGGGCTAATTTTCTGACAGGTCGCCCTGAACATTGTCACACCCTTGTGACTGTGGTGGTGGCTGGAATAGAATTTGATAATTTTCTTTTTTATTTTCTTGTTTTTTTTTTTTTACTGTCTATTAATTCCCATAAATATTTGTCAAATGGAAATGGTTCTGTTATGGTATTTATCACATATTTTGTTTCTGTTTTGCATCTTACTCCCCTCTCAATTTAAGATTTTAAAAAGCATTTTGAATTAAGATCTATTTTTATGTAAGTATGTAGTTTTTGTCCCCAACTTTGTTCTTGTAAAAGCAAACATGTGCATGTGTCCTGGTCAATTGATAACTGTCCAAACAAATAGGGGGGGGGGGGCATCATTAGCTTTTGGTAACTGGTTCTCTGTCTAACCCCAAAAATGTTGGTTTATAATTTTTTTTGGTTTCCTTATGGTTTCTCTATCTGGATACTTTTCTCTTGTTCTGATACCTTGTAAGCAAACTTGAGCTTTCAGTCATTGCAATTTACTGTGTAGATTATGATTAACCTAATGCATATCTTTGAAGAATGTTTGACTTTAATAATACTACTTGGACAACCAACATTTGTTGAATACTGTTGGGGTTATGCTATCACACAGCAAATGTTTAAAAAAAAAACATAACTAAAGTTTTATATTCCAATCTCAAGAACTCAGTTGTTTCTACTACAGCCATCTTGGATATTAAACATTAGTTATTATTTTGTATTAATACAAAAAAAGCTGTTTTAAATTAAAATAAATGCATGTATATTTTGGATAGATTTCACATCAAAGGTTTAATATTTAAAAATTACAGATCAATGATTTTTGCTTGTTTTAATAGTCAAGTATTTTATTCATGGGTGATTTCATAGCATGTTGTGTCGTGACTTTTTCTCTCCTTTTTTGTTTCTTAATTGCCTTGATGATTTGATATTTCTCATTTTACTTTGTTTTACATAACATAAATTATTCAATGTAACAATTGATTTTTAAACTTTTGCATACCTGAGTATGTTATAGTTTCTGATACTTAGGGGTCATAGGTTATGGATAACTGATCTGTTTGATATATTTGGAGATATTTAAAGATTATTTTAAAACTCTTTTTAATTATCTTTAATTTTTTTAAATTACATAATCAGGTTAAATTTATTAATAATAATGGGGAAAAAATTAGAAGAAAAAAAATATTCTGAAATATATTATCAAATTTTACGCTTTTAATTTCAGTGTTTAAAGCAGATAGTCAGGAATCAGCGCGGTCCTCACTTCAGCCCCTGGAGGAAATGATGAAGAAGAGTACACCCACAGCCAAGCTGGCCACCCAGGAGGTGCTGTCCCCTGAGGCCCTACGCATCTTGGAGAGGATGCCCAACCTGAGCTTCATGCAGTCAAGGGTCCTGATGTTTCCTGTCAAGCAGTGAGCAGCCTCCGCACTGATGTAAGGTTTGATGTGATTGGTCAGTTGGCAGGTGATTGAATCACTGGTCAGTTAATGGATGATTGAATTACTGGTCAGTTAATGGATGATTGAATTACTGGTCAGTTAATGGACGTTTGAATTCTGCGGCCACCTAATATATTTTGAAATTCAGTGGATAATTAATCGAATATTGATCTATATAGACCTATATATATATATATATATATATATATATATATATACATGTGGTCAGCCAATGGGTTATTGAGCCCAGTAATCATATTTATGTGGTCATGATATAGATATAATTAAACTCAGTGGATAGTTAATGGATTAATACACTATATAGACCTATATAAATATATATGTGGTCAACTAATCATGGATCATCAAACTGGATGCTTGACGGATTATTGATGGATTATTGAACGAAGCGGTCTGTTAATGGAATTTTGATCCTTGTGGTCAGTATACAGTTCAAAATGTCATTCTCATGTGAATTGAGATGAATAATATAAAGACATGCTTACACTAGTTTTAACAGATATAAAAAAAATAATTATTGATTCTAAGAGCCACCTGAAATAAAAAATCAGGAAGCTACATTGTAAATTAGAATAACCAATGAGAGTGATCAGGAGAGCCTAATGTCTCTTGTGGCAGCCTGAAGACTTTATATGCAATTTGTTATTGGTATGGTGTTGATTTGTTTCAGTAGCTTGTTCTTCTATTGTGTACTTGTTAATATTTGAATGCATCATTGTTGATGTATGCTGTTTGTGTACCTAACTCATCTGCTTTAAAGTCAGTATGTCTATTAAAACTGTTAATTTATGTAAAGAAATATAACTAGTATTTGAAAAAAAAAATGTTTCCTTGCTTAAGATTTGTTTCGTTTTTTTTCCTCCATAGTCTTTCTTCTATTTTTCATTCCATGTTTTTAACTTAACATTCTTGGTGAAGGTTCTATTTTTAAGTTGTTGTGTTCTTCCTGTATGGTGTTAGTTGAAAAGCTCAAAGCTTAGTTGTGTTGTAGAATGTGGGATTTCATGGTATTTCATATGTATTTGTTTGATTTAATAGTCTCCGTTTTTTAATTGACTTGTGGGAATTAAGAGTATGAAGATTGGCTCAAACATTCTCTTATTGATGTATATAATTTTAATTTGTTGAGTTGTAGATGTAGTTATTTATTGTTTTAGCCAGTGCAGAATGTGGAATGGCAACGAGCAGAAACCGTAATTGAATTAATTCAGTGTGCCAGTGTGTTCACACATATCTAATAAACACAAGTTTTAGTACAAGATGACCTATTTTTAAAATGATTATTAAAACTAAATTATTGTTTAAAAACTTACAAAACATTTTTTTTATGTCTAGGCTCAAAAATATAAAATTAATATTTATTGTTTAAAATAGTTCAATTTAGAATATATTCTTGTGGACACTTGATTAGAAATATTTAATATACAACCAGTTTTGTCAACTAGGTTCTAGACTTGATCTATTTATAATTGTCCAGATTTAGCTATATGCATATATTAAACACTATTTAATATTTTTGTGATCTACGCTGAATGTATTGTGATAAGGGCATATCACATATCAGCACTCGTTTAAATTTGTTGGGTTTAAAAAAATGTTGTATAACAATTATGTTGGTGTATTTAAACATTGTGCAATATTAATATATACAGTGGTTATATCATGTGGAGCATTACTGGTGGTATAGGAAATGTTATGATTTATACACATTTTCTTTGCTGTTAACAATCAGGAGGAATGTTTTGTGATGTTGCCAGATAAAGATGTTGATAAGTTGCCTAATTTTTTTTTGGAATTCTGCCAGTAGTGTGTCATTGTATAGGTATTTAATAAATAATTTTCATTAAAGTGCTTTCAAGTTAAGAGTTAGATGATAACCAAATAGATGGTTAAATTAAATTTGTAACCTGTTGAATTGTGGTTTTGATTTTAAAAGTAGGAATAAAAGTTGACTTTTTTTTTTCTTTCTGATTTATTTAAATTTTTATATAGAGGCCTGAATATTTTTAAATAAAAGGACTGATCTATATTAAAATGGAACCTTTTTTTTCCTAACTTTCATTTATTTTGAAAGTTGTTTGGATATTCAAGTTTCAGCTCGTAATTGGAAAACATGTAATTGTAAATTATAAATTAAAAACTTCATTATTTAAGTGGACAAAAGGAAAAAGTTTCCTAGTCTGTGAATGCATTTTTAGAAAGTTTTTGTGTAGTAAATGTATGCATGTAAACTTCAATAAGTCTATTGCACACAATAGTGAAAGATTTATGGCTTTAGCTAATGCTGTTTCGTTATAGAAATTCTAAAATACCTTCACTGTAAAAAGCTTGAGGTAACGTACACAGAATGTATACTTCAGTGTTATACTATCTTCTATATAAGTGTATCCCAGTTTCATACTATCTTGTACTAAAACTATCTACATTGAACCTATATCTCCACATTATTTCAAGGCAAGTCTTGTGTTTGCTCATGCGGTCATTGTGCATTTCCCATGGTTAATCAGGTCATGCTCTAGTTCATTAAGCTTTATTTTTCCCTCTGTTCCCAGTTTTTTAAATTTTTTGTATAAGCCTGATGTGGCTTTATCAGCTCTAAGCCTATTAAGAAAAAAATTGTTTTAAAATAAAATTTATGATTTGTTTAATTGCATTTCCGAAATGCACATTTTTTAAGTGGACTTTTTTGAATTGTGAAATTCCTATTGCTAATTTTTTTAAAAAGTAATCACAGAATGTAATTGTTATAAATCTGTCATAAGAGCTACCCCTAACTTGTAAGTGATTTTACAATCTTATGACCTATAATTATAAGTCAGTAAACTAATCTTTGTAGCTTTACATCAAATAATATTTTACAGTAGGGATTCAGTTTTTTTTGTAAGAGCTAAACTGTAATACATTCCAAAGTGTGAAGTTGTGCTTGGAAGATTTATTTCCCCTTATTCACTGCTGTATCTGTCAGTAAGTTATTTGTGGTGAATTTATTCTAGATTATCAGATATTTATTGTTAAATAAACTATTCTTTTTCAAACTTGGTTATGGTTTTATTTCGTACTTAAATATTGTTTTATATTGTTTTGTATTGAGATGAAATTCATGAACCTTTTTGAGATAATGAGTTACAAACATTTACTAATAGGTCCTCATATATTGATAAATGAGTATGTAAAATATGTATGGGTACATACTATTTTTAGAAACTACACAAAAAGTGTGATTATAACTATAACATACGCTTTTACTATTACAGTATAACATTTAAAATTTTTTTTTAATTTAATTTTTTTTAGGCCCCTGTTTTTTTACTAGAATTCCTTGAATTGATAGAAGCAGACTATAGTAAAAAAATATTTTGTAGAATTTTCACCAGTTTTGAAACTTCGGTAAAGAGAATCACTATTTGAGTTACAAAACTTTCAAACACAATGTTCTTTTATATTGTTTTGTTTTTTATTAAATTCTTTTTTGTTTCTTAACACAGTCATCAAATTAACATTCTTAAACATGTTAAAACATCAATATTTTAAAGCATATTTTGTAAAAAGATTCTACTTTACAAACATTCACAAATATTTTTAAGCATATCTAACAAAAGTTAGCACTAATTGACAAGGAAAAAAATTCCAACTCCAATTGTTTTAAAGTACAAAATGGCACATGTATAAATAACACAAAGCTTTAAAAAAAAAATCTGGTATGTTTAAAACATCAAAAGCTGAAATACTTTTCTAATTGTAAAAACTGGCACATTGTAACAGCATCACCACATTCCGCAAGCTAAATTGTTAAAATGTATAGAGCAGGGGTCTCCAAACTACCGCCCGCGAGGTCCTCTCACCCGGCCCGCGGAGATCTTTTTGTCCACGGAAAAAATGTTTGTTAGAGGTGGCTGTGGAACTTTGCCCAGAAAATTCAAAACAATTTGAAAATGTAGCTTTAGGTGCAAATACCATTGCCCGCCGTGTTGCAGACATTGGTGAAAACATCGTGATTCAAATAGCGAAAAATACAAGCAAGTTTCGCCATTTTTCAATTGCAAATGATGAGTCGCTGAAATTTAGATATATTTCTATATAATTTATATTTCGTTGGGGGAGGGGGGAGAAGAGAGGGGGGTATATGTTCTTCGGTTGGGATGGGGGGGGGGGGCTCCGCCACCCCCAAAGAGATGCCTGGAAGAAACTGGCCCCCGAACTGATATTTGATAGTTAATGCGGCCCTCGGGCTGAAAAGTTTGGAGACCCCTGGTATAGAGTATAAGCAGCATTAAACAATAAATGACAAAATAGTAACAATATTTTAAAGTAAATACGTGATTTACAAAGCAAGTATATGTGACTCCTAGAACAAGTAACTATGACTTACAGATCAAGTATAAGTGACTTACAGAACTAGTAGGCCCATATATGACTTAAATAACGTGTTAAAGCGAGTTCTAGAACATGTATTTATGACTTACAGAATATGTTTTGGGGACATGGATATTTGACCTACTTACATCAAACAAGACAGTACATTCCCATGGTGCGTTAATTGCTGTGGTTCATTTAAAAATGTAATAATTTCACGACAACTGAATCCCGTCATTTGGACTTCAGAATTAGTTGTGAGAATGATGGTTGGGCTTTATCTCTTTAAACTCGAACCAGAAACAGTGGTCATTGCGGTTGGCATTAAATATAGTTAGTAGCAATGTATTAGAACTTTAAAATGTTGGTCGTTTATCTATTTCAGGCTTTTGCATTGAAGCGAGCAGTGAATTTGAAAGAAATTTGTGTTTTTGTTTTGTACAAAATTTTGACACAGCTTATCAAAAATGAAAGTAAAACTCATCGTCGATTTCGGATCTTCCCGCAAGTATTTCCGTCGCTAAGTGTTTGGGGATGGTGGAGCCAAGGGTGCTGCACTCGTACGGATAACCCTGGACGTTAGAGGGCGCCCTCGAGTTACGCCGGCTGACCTGGATATTCGGCATCTCGCAGACGAGAACAGAGTCGCCGCGGTGACCGCTGATGACGGATTCCCTCCGGTGGCCCGGGATACCGGAGTCCCGTCTCCGGCCAGTCGCGCAGCTTCGGCCACTGATGAGCGTGCTCTGGGTGTGGTAGTCGCGCTGTTCTTGGTTGCCCAGTTCGTCGAAGTAAAAAGCGCTGAAGTGATGCGGATCAGGAGCCACGGATAAACTTGGCATTGAAGAGCGGTCCATCCAAGCGGGGTAACCAGGAAAAAATGGATCAATTCGGAGTGGTTTCCCTTGGCGTTTTCGTATACAAACGACGATACAGGCTACAATGAAAGCTAGAGCGAGACTTCCGGCGATGTAAATAAGAAGAAGAGGGATAAAAGAATTGTGAAACATGTTGTAAAGCTGTTGTTCTTTTTGTTTCGGATCTCCGGACTTCGTTGAGGATTTCGCATCCTCGCATAGTTCCTCGATAACGGAGAAATCGTCAGCTAGCATGATGATGCAGATTTCGTATTCTGTGTTTTCGTTTAAGGCGGTGAAAACGTGCGAATTCGTTTCCGGGGTAGTGGTGACGGATTCGATATGATAAGAATCGTTGCAGCGTTTTAGTATTACGATATACCCACCCGCCTGTGTCGTATCCTTAGTCCACCAGTCGACTTGTATTGACGTCGGGTTGGGCAGGGTGATGTTGAAACTGACATGTTGACTCGACTGGGTCGTCTTAACTTCATACGTTGCTTTCGTAGGCGTCGTATCAACCCTCCAAGCCGGGTTAAACTGAGCTAAACAAGTCGACTCGCGTATGTTAAGCTCCGTGCATTTAAGCTCCGAGATGTCTAGCTCCGTGAAGAGCTTTTTAGGGGTGTGGGACGTGGCGGCGCATTCCCATTTGTAGTTCCATTCGTTGGGGCCGGAGTGGGTAACCTGCAACCAACGGAACAACCACGACAGACTGCAGTTGCAGACGAGGGGGTTCTCGTACAAGCGAACCTCCACTAAGTCTCTAAACGCGAAGAAAGCGCAGTCTGGAATTGTTTGGATTTTGTTCCAGGATAAATCCAAAAGTTGAAGAGTTGAGTTGAATCTCGTCAGGATGAAACTTTCACTTGTGAACTCTTTGATCCTGTTGTGCGAGAAGTTAGCGGATATGAGATATATCCAGCTTTTGAACACGCCGATGTCTATTTTATCGATCGCGTTGTAGCTAAAATCGATTTCTTTTAGGGACACTAAACAAGAAAGCACGCTGAGGTCATTGAACCCGATGCCGGCGTTACTACTGTCCACATATTTCAATGACGTCATTACTCCAATAAAAGTCTCGTACCGGAAGCTCCCGCCTAATTTTGTCCTATTTATATTCAAACGTTCCAATCTGCTGAATCCTGAGAAGGCGCCGCTTTCGATCAACTCTAAAGGATTGCCGTGAAGGTCAAGGTTGGACAACGTTGCGCCCAGCCCCACCAGACTTCTCCTTTGGACGACGCCTATGAGGTTATTCGCTAAATTTAGCGACGTAATGTAGCGTAGACCTACGAACTCTTCACTCGATAAAGTCGAAATATTATTAGAGCTTAAATTCAAGATTCGAACAGTTTTTAAGTAACGCAGCGACTTCAACGCTTCCTGGTTGAACCCATTCCCTTGCAAGTCCAGCTCTTCGAGACAGTAGTCGAGATTGTAGAAAGCTCCACCGGCTATGAAAGCCATTTTGTTGAACGCCATCTTGAGATACTTGAGCTTGGACATCCTCGACAGCGCTTGGTTGTCCAACATCTGCAGGTCGTTGGACGACAGGTCGAGGTCAAGGACGTTCTCTAAAACGTTGATCTCTTTGACGTGCTGGAACCGGATGCTGTTCCGGGAGAGGTTGAGAATTCTCAGATTCAGCAGCGGGGCGAAGGCGCCCGGTTTGATCCCGGCTATTCGGCAGCCGACGAGATGAAGCTCCTCGATTTGACTGAGGTTCTGGAACAGCTCCGAATAGAGTTCCTGCTGCTTGCACCCCAGGACGAACAGACTCTGTAGGCGTATTAGTCTGGAGAGCGCAGGGGTGGGGAGACCGTCTAAGGCGTATAGCTGGATAGAGAGAGCTTTGAGCGAGTGTTCCAGCCCTTTGAAGGCGTCTTCGTGGATAGAGGTGACAGCGTTGTCTAGGAGGTCCAGCTTCTCGATGTTCAGGCCTTGGAAGCCGTCGGCGGGCAGGCTGCGGATGCTGTTGTACCTGAGGAGGGAGAGGGTCATGTGACTTATGCAGGATAGTAGATGGAGAGTGTGTGGTTTTGGGGCGTGGGAGTGCTAATCTGAAGGTGTCTTAAGTAAGTAGTTTGTAATGTATGTAAGTGTAATCGATGATGAAATTGTGGGAATTCTTATCATATAGGAGTCATTGTTTCCCGAGTCATTTTGAGTAAAAAAAATAAGGGTCATTAGTGTAGGGGTCAGGGGTGTACGGGTCATTTTGTGTCAGTGTAAGGGTCAGTGGTGTACGGGTCATTTTGTGTCAGTGTAAGGGTCAGTGGTGTACGGGTCATTTTGTGTAAAAATAGCGGTCATTGGTGTGCGGGTCATTTTCGGTTA